ATTGTCAGTTCAACAGATATCTGGAATGGGGGAATATGAACAAGTAAGGTGGGTTGTTTCCAATCAAATCAGTCACATTAATACCACACAAAATAGACTTGGGTAAAATACATTATTGTAGTTCAGAACTTTGAAGTTTGGTTTGGTTTAAATAGTTAAATGTCCTATAAACAACTATGTCCATTTAAGGACGGCTTCCCAGTGTATGAGAGGTGAGTGCATGTGTTGCATGCACATGTTTTTGAGAGGTTGTAATATATCCATGTCAAGTCTCCTAGAATTGTATGGAACTGGAGTAAACTTTATAGTGTTATCACACTGAAGTATACTGCTGTAAACCTCTGGGAAATAATAAGTAATATAAATGTTTTGTTGTCATCACATTACAAACATAGAAAACATGACAGAATACCAATGTAAAAACGATAAAATCCCATCCTATTCTACACTGAGATCCTCTTAAAGTTGTTTTTTTTTTCGATAAATTTTATTTTCTTACTTTTTTTTCAAGGATTTCATAAATTCTTGAAAAAAATAATTACCATCAAAATAAAATTGATAAATAAAGAGATTGTCTGTTTCATGACTTAAAGAGATTAGATGTATATCCTTTTTTCTTTAAAGATTTTCATAAAACTGAAAACATTTGAATCATTGAAAAATACATGTATCTAAGTGTATACACTGCTAACAACTGAGTTGTGGGATATTTTTCTTCGTTTTAAAACTTTTTATTCTAACATAAAGAATAGTCTTCTGACAACAATTATATAGTCTTCTCCAACTAATCCAACAGTAACATAAATACTGTTAAATTTTTTTCAATCCATGGTTCAAATTTTTTTGGTTTACCAAAACTTTGATTGGAAAGGGATGTAATTTTTATCCAAGTCATGAAATAAACTGAAAGTTTTATTTCCTTAACTTCATTTTCAAAGAATCTATTTTTGGCAACTTTCCATCTTTGAAAATATCAAAAATAAAACTCCACTAAAACAACAATGATTACAGTATGTATATAACAATACATCAGAACAATATAGCAATAGATTTCTCTACTTACAGTACGAAGCATCATCTTCTTCATCACAAATTAATATCACATTAACTACACATAGAAACAGTTGCCACTACTCTAACACTGTACTAGCTACCAACTTATTCTTGCCAAGTACCAATTCTCGCCAAGGGTCACCAACTCACGATATCTTAGTTCACGATATATCTGCAAGCAGACTTTTCATGAAAAAAATACCTCCTTCTGAAAATTTCTGGAGAAAATGACAATTTATGCAAAAACTACTTCCCTCAGAATTGGCAAGAAGTGGTTGATGATCAATAAAATAAAATAAAATACCCTAACCTTACGTGTAACAGTAGATTTGAGTCACAATTTTGTCTGTGCTTGACCTGCGTCCAGTAAACCATCACATTTTTGTCTGTGCTTGACCTGTGTTGTAAATTATCACACTTTCATTTATACTTGACTTGTGTCCAATATATTATCACACTTTTGTTTATGTTTGCAAAAACTAGTTACAATTTATGATACATGTATTTACAGACATTTACAACATAGCTCTTCTTAATTACAAGGTTTTCTTCTTTGTATGAAATACATAATAGACATACATGTAACATAGAGTGTATCAGTGAATAGATAACTTAAAAATTATTATTTTATCCCACTGACTAAACACCAGAGACTACAGAAATAAAAACTAGGTAAATTTCAATACCATATATCATTTTTTGTGTGTTTGAATTAAATGACCCTTTTAAAATTGCAAAAAATGGAAAAAAAAATTTCATGTTTTTTTTTCTATTATTTTATAAATACATAAGTAATGCATCAATTTGCTGTATTTACATGCACGTAAACACTTTCTAGTCGTGAATATTTCTATAATAATAAAAAAATATCAGTCGGTATGTAAATCTCTTTTCTAGTACAATTGGGTACTTATATCTCCAGTTAATGTTGGGAACCTATTGTACATATGCAAGCTATGCCCATTCTGAGGCCTTTCAAATTTCTGAGTTGATGAAATCATAAAAAATTAAATATGCAAAAATTGCAAAAGGCACATTTTCAGGATGTTAGCAAAAAATTTGCACAGCATAGAAACATCCCAACATTTCTAATTCTGTCACATTTTGACCCTTAAATGGGTACAGGTGTATGTGTACAAGTATCTAAGGCAAAAATGCATTTAAGTATTTATTGTACATTTAAGAATGTGAATCAAATAATATCTGTATGCCAAGACTTTTATCACCATTTTTATAAAAATCTTATGATGTATATTGGCCCAGAACAAAATCTTAATTCATATAGCATATACTGGAATATTTACCACTGTAAACTGTATAGTGCATACCAGAAAATACGCTAGGTACTGTAGATAGATCACACTATGTAGTATATGCTGGAATACACCACTGTAGACTGTCATAAATCTATGCTGCTGATGATAGCCCTCCGTGTATACTGTACACAAGAATATACACCACTGTACATATGTATATAGATCTATGCCTTTGTCAATAGATCAGAATTTGTGGTTTGGATGAGTTTTAGATCTAGGAAATATTATCCATCACATTCATCAATAGAGTATAGGTAACCTTGACCTTTGACCCTTGAACCACAAAATCATCCAAGGCAAAATCCATAGAGCAATATCATTGCTTCTGTGATGAAATTAGATAGAGATAGGACAGACAATTGGACAGAACGGGAAGTGAGGACACAAGACAGACACTGCAAATATAGTTGCCAAAATCCCTTACCCTGAAGGAAAGGTGAGAGCAATAAAAAATCCAAGGACACCAAAAATTGTGCAGAGATTTGATTTTAGTTTAATCAGAGATAAATACAATTAACATCTCTTTCTCGAAAAGAGATGACAGACTTATGTATAAAAATAGATATATAATATACACATCTTTAAATAAACGATAGCACCAGGAAAGAATTTGACATAATATCTTCACAGATTTACAATTCTTGTGTTTGAAAGAAATTCTAAGAAAGCATTTCAATTATAAACAGGTTTTGAAGTATTGTCACTACCAAACTAAGATACGGCATATATCTAGTAATAAGCCCAAAATACTACTTGAATGTCCTGTGCTAAGCGCATCACCCTGAGTTTGAGTCAAGGCTATTGTGCTGGCCTCCTGGACTTGCTTGTTTTTTTTCACTGGATTTATCAACCTGTGGACAGCCACAGCCATTTTGAGATAGCTGTTGTTGTAGATGGTGGTTACATCACTGAACAACAAACGAGAGGCCGCCGCATGGCATCTACAGCAATTAGGGTAAAACATTTTACCCAAAGACACAACTACTGTCACAGGCCAGTCGGTTTCTTAGCTTCCTGTGAAACACAAACTGCCGCAGTACAGGGCGTCAAATTACATACCTCAGATCTTCACCTCAGGTTAAACAGGCCAACACTCTGACTGACTGAGTTATTGCGGTCCCTTCCCAAAGACTTATTACAAGATGAACTACATATATGACAAATATACCAACAAGTCCATATACACATCAAATGTATCCTAACCAAACAATGGTATACACAACAATGCATAATTAAATTTTTTATCCTGTGAGTTCCATATATATGTATTGTATTACAACAATGATATGAATCATCCCACATAATATCACTGCACTTCAAAATACATTGCTATTCAAAACCAGAAATAAATGCATACAAAGTGATAAGAAATCTCATTCTTGACCTGCCATTTGACAAAAAAATCTCAAACTGTTTATGAAGATCAAATCCCTCCTCCAAACAAAATTGTACACAGTGGGAAGACCTGTTCTATATATAGTTATCTCCCCTTATTAAAATGCTGTGTGTTGCATATATATCAATATATATGACTTTTTGTATAGACAGAAATATACAGCAAAGGGAGCTAATCTGCTCCTGTAGTAAGCATCCAGTTATTGTAATAACTTGTTATTCAGAGAATGAAAAAGAAGTTTCTTTTCCCTGTTGTTTCATGATAATATTTAGTAAAATATGTTGTAAAATATATATAAATATAGATATTACTAATTCTGAAATATATATTTCATACATAAACATCTCTATCCTTACCTCATCATCAAGATATTTTTTTGAAATGTTTGTGAGAGTGGACTAACAAGCCCTCACTGTTTGAGTACTGGTCTCTGTACAGAGTTAAGTGGACTAACAAGCCCTAACATGTGGACTAACAAGCCCTCACTGTTTGAGTACTGGTCTCTGTACAGAGTTAAGTGGACTAACAAGCTCTCACTGTTTGAGTACTGGTCTCTGTACAGAGTTAAGTGGACTAACAAGCCCTCACTGTTTGAGTACCTGGTCTCTGTACAGAGTTAAGTGGACTAACAAGCTCTCACTGTTTGAGTACTGGTCTCTGTACAGAGTTAAGTGGACTAACAAGCCCTCACTGTTTGAGTACCTGGTCTCTGTACAGAGTTAAGTGGACTAAAAAGCCCTCACTGTTTGAGTACTGGTCTCTGTACAGAGTTAAGTGGACTAACAAGCCCTCACTGTTTGAGTACTGGTCTCTGTACAGAGTTAAGTGGGCTGACAAGCCTCCATGCTGAGTATATGTCCAAGTACAGAGTAACTCAATCCTCCAATGGTTGAGTATATGTCCGAGTACAGAGTAACTCAATCCTCCAATGGTTGAGTATACGTCCGAGTACAGAGTAAAACAATATACATTCCTTTGTTACTGACACAGTTGTTACATTTTAAAAGTACTACTGTAATATTCTGTAGACTTGTTTGCCCTTGTAACAATGCCTGTCATACTGGGCGTCTGAAAGCATCATCTCAAATTTACAATATCTTCACCGTGGATTGAATTTCACGTAAGATTTAAGCCAGATATCACTCCTTGGCCAAGCATGTAAACTGTTATATCCCCGGACAGATGATTATCTAGGTAGCGCTGTAGACAAACTTTTGTGAGACGTGTTAGCTGGGCTATACTTCCGACAGATTAAATGTGTGAAGTTCAGTATCCCTGGAGAGCTGTGGGTTAGTGGTGTTTACTAAGGTATAGTCCTGATCCACAGACGGCACAACCTTGAGATCTTGAGGGTCAATATCTTCTACTTCACTATCATCCTCTTCATCATTCGGCTTACCATTTGCCTGTGCATCAATACGGCCTTGGATGGCTTTCCGTAACTAAGGACAACAAAATTATTATTGGCTTGATTGATTGAATCATTTGTTTACAAATCATGGACAAAAACCGCTTAACTTATTTATCTGACAATAAGTCCACGCCTGTAATAAGCAAGTATTAAGAATTACAAACAAATCATATTTCACTGACCTGTAATAAGCCCACCTCCTGAGGTTAGGTCAGAATTTGTATAATGGTCCCTAGGACTTACAGCAGTATAAAACCAATACAGTATTCTAACTCACTCTATTAAAGATTTAATAATACCTACCTCTTTAAGTCCACACACCCCCACTAACTTCCCAGCATTGGTAACATAGGCGTGATTTAGACCAAGAAGGGAGAAGAGAGAATGGACCTGTAACAGAGAGAAGACATTCATCAAGAGACTCAACACAATATTATAATGACATAACAAGGAATTATTATACCTGATAATTAATATCACAGGAAAACTTAAATAAATGTTTACGCATCAAAAGATGCTAGGTGTCGTGGGTAACTTGTTGGAAAATTTGAACCAATCAGAAAGCTAGGATTGGTAGTAACATTTATTACAAAGGACTGTCATAATAGGCTGAAAACATATCTGTATTACATTAACCTAAAAATTAGGTATATCATCAAACAGTGGCTGTCCATTTGTTCTTTCAACTTAACTTTGGTCTCCTTTTTGAGTCATGATTCAAAAATTGCTTCAAATATCTGGTAAAATAGACAACATACTGGGGTATTACTATAAGCAAAGATTCTAGTCAACTATTATACTATAAAGCAAGTCTCCTTGGCAATTTTTGGGTTTTGTTGACACTGACTTTGAACCTTGTATGACAACTTGGAATGATGCACTATCATTCATTTTGATATAATTATCCAAAAATTACTTGATATCACTTAACTAATAGCTATATATTGTTATACCTCCCACAACTGAATGTAGAACTGTAAGATTTAAGAACCATTAACATACTACAGGAATTAGATGATTGATGTTCAGGTATATCCTTTATGCAAGGTGGCCTAACCATTTTCCAACAACTACCTCTAGGCTATATATACAAATGTAGGCTCTGTTCATTGTTGTTGTTAGGTTACCTTATTCTAATACATTGTATATACAATTCAATGAATTCTATAAAACGATAAAACTTCGCAAATCAAAATTCAGTTGAATTTTTGGTAAACACTTGCCTCGTCAGAATACTGTTTATTAGATAATTATACTTTTCTTCATCGAAATTTTTTGAAATATAACTTTGCTTGAGCCTCTACATGGCAATTTCACTCATTCTCAATTTTTCTGAAATTTTCAATGTATACACTTAAGATAATGAGCTCTCAAAAAACATTTCCTATCTGAAATAAAAATGTTTTTTTCAAGTTTTTTTTTATTATTTTTTATTTATTTTCGAAACAAAAACTCACAGCAGAATCTATTTATTCAAAACTGACATCCTATGACTATGCACACCATTGTTTATTAGATTTTTTGAGGAAATACTGACCCCTGTCTTACCCCAACAAAACTGACTAAAATTGAAACTCTAATCTTTTGGATTTTATATGACACCTTTATCGGTTCTCCATTTTCCTGAAATTTTCGTCAAATGTTCTTTTTTTTTTTTTAATTTTGCAATATTTTGATACATGATTACTGCCATATTGTCAAACTGACTCTTGCTAATAAAACATTATATCATTTGATAATGTATGCTGTGGTTTTGATACTTTAACAGATGAAAAACTGAACCCTGTCATACTCCTATGATTATGACACTAAATGGGTTGCAGTTCAGGCCCAATGGACCTTTTGAAGTATTTATTTCTATTTCATTGGTAGTCACTCAAGGAGCTAAGGTGTTACAAATACCACTCACTTTTATTTAATTTGGTGTGTAGGCAAAATTCCTTTGTTCCTGTTGCCATGAAAACAAAGGGTAGAAAAAACAATACTTGATGATTTTTCTGAGCTGGGCTGTAACTCCTAGTTGTGTCCCATACCCCCACAAAACTCTGTACAAGAACCAGGTTAAATTGCTAATTGTGTTTCCAACTCCCTTTGCTTTTTTTTTTAATTTTTTATTTCTGTAACTGCCAAAAACATTCTGGAAAAAGGTATAATACCACGCCTTGTATTTCTTATCTTACCTTGTGCAATGATGTACGTTCAACCAGCTGAAAGGGGGCGGGGTCAATCTGACAGCCCTCCCAATCAATGATGTCTGACAGCTGTTGCTCCTCCCACAGTTGTTGCTGTACCAAACATAACATAAGGGTATAACACTGATGGAAACTGGTTTATAGATCAATTATATATCTTATACAGGACATCACTTTGTAATATCCTAAAAACAGTTTAGATTTGATTGGAATAGGACTTGTACTGAGCAAGAATGCCAAACTTTGTAAAGTCCAGCTTCTTATTCTTTGTATTGTATCCTTGAATTTCCACTTACTTCTGAGTTAATGGACTGTGAAATCTGTAAGATATTTTGTAAATCATGGATGTCTTGTAGTATATGCTATGAGATCAACCTATATAACAGAATTGTTTAACATAGGACTAACTTGTTTTGAGCAACAGATTTGCAAAGATTCAAAGTGAAAGGTTGATGTCACTGTCATGAGTAAGAAAGTGAGACCAAAAGGTTTTGCGACTTTTCATGACAGCTAAGATATTATATTACGTGTAATTCTTGCAAGGTAGGGTCTTCTTGTAGTAGCTGAAAGCTACCTCACAGAACAACATGCAGGAGGTCCCTACCAAGCTATCCTGAACAATGAGTACAACCATGACAGCACAGACCAGTCTGTTTCTCAAAGTCTTTGAAACACAAACTATCCCAGTGAGGGAGCATTGAACTACATATCTCTGATTTTCATCTGAGGTTCTGTTGGTCAATACTTTAAGGAGTTAAGGTATCACTGTCCCTGGAGTATGAAACAATATCAGAGTTTATATCAATACAACATCAGTCCAATCAACTGAATTCTGACACTTCGGTATACTCACCTTGTCTGCTGGTAAGTTTTTCACTTTAACTGGTTCCGGTGGCTGAGGGGAAAAAATCAAAGTAAAGTAAGAAATAGCTTACAATAACAACTGAAACAGTGTCACAGTGCATATATAAACCTAATCAAAGTACTGAAAGTCCTGAAACATTGTCATTGTACATATATATACACAGTCAAAGTACTGAAAGTCCTGAAACATTGTCATTGTACATATATATACACAGTCAAAGTACTGAAAGTCCTGAAACATTGTCATTGTACATATATATACACAGTCAAAGTACTGAAAGTCCTGAAACATTGTCATTGTACATATATATACACAGTCAAAGTACTGAAAGTCCTGAAACATTGTCATTGTACATATATATACATAGTCAAAGTTCTGAAACATTGTCATTGTACATATATATACACAGTCAAAGTACTGAAAGTCCTGAAACATTGTCATTGTACATATATATACACAGTCAAAGTACTGAAAGTCCTGAAACATTGTCATTGTACATATATATACATAGTCAAAGTTCTGAAACATTGTCATTGTACATATATATACACAGTCAAAGTACTGAAAGTCCTGAAACATTGTCATTGTACATATATATACACAGTCAAAGTCCTGAAAGTCCTAAAACGTTGTCATTGTACATATATATACACAGTCAAAGTACTGAAAGTCCTATAACTTACGTTGACTACATATATACATAACAAGAATTGATTCCAACAAACTGGACATCATGCCTACTCAATGAGATGCGTAGATTTATTTCGAGATAAAATAAATATTTATATTCTTTATTCTTATAAACTAAGCAGTAAAGTTTACGCATTGACTACCACGGTAGAAAAAGATTCAATATCAATGTATTTAAAATAACAAAACATTGCTCAGTGAAAGATCTGCAAATACTGCCAGTCAAGCCAAGTAAGGCATAATCTGTAGTTTTCCAACTAGAAAATTACTTTTAAACATCAGAGTTCTGAATAGAAAGTAAAAGAAGCAGAAAATGTAGGTCACTGTGACCTACCTTTAACATAGTGGTCTTGTACAACAAGAGGTCATATACTAGTTGGATAATTATAGGTTTGTTTGCTTGTGGAGTTTATTGTAAAGTCTACAGCCACAGTCATTTTGAGGAAGGGTATCCTTGTAGCAGACGGTGGCTACCTCACTGAACAACATGTAGGAGGACCACCACATGCCATCCTTATCAATTAATATCAAATGTCTTGCCCAAAGTGACTGCCACAATAGCAAAGTATGATTTGTGACTCACTTATACTGTAACATCCCACATTTTCATGGGGCTCAAATTGTGTGGTTTTCAAAATTATACATTTTCACTAGTACTGAATTTAGTGGACAAATCTGACTCACAAAATCTACTTGTACTATATTCTACTTCAACTTTGATCTGTATATCGCTTTGTGAACATATAAATTAGTGGGTATAGAGTAGCCACTGATTAAATTAAAAATAAATCCCCCACAAAAACTAACAATTTTACAGTATGCAAGAAAATGTAAAGCAAGCCATAATATCTAAAACATCAGTAACTGCAAACTTTCCACTAATTAATGTACAAAACACTACTAAAATTTTCCACATTTTGTCACCTACTTAAAACTTCACATACCCTTGTGGTAATATTCTCTGTAACATTCAATTGATGTGATATGAAGTTGTACAATATCGAAACAATCTCCACAGCAACACATATCTGTATTCATTCAATGTTACAAAGTCTAACAGTGCAAAACAAGAAATTAACCAAATTCCAGAAACCTCTACTACTGCAAGCATTGCTAAGCTACAAATTACCTAATATAGAATACAGCAAATGCGTCACCAAGGTAACTAAAACAGGGCATATATTTTTAATTGATATTGCAAAAATCATATTTCTTTGACAAGATAAAACTAATGGCAACCCTCCAGTAAATATTCCATAAAGCCCCGGAGTGGGTTTTAATGGGATTTGCCAGAAGGTCATTTGCAATTATATCAACTATAATTACATTCAGAAAAAATCTTTTTGTTTTAATCATCACAAAATAACACAATAGAAAATTTTAACAGTACATCTCTATAGACTGTAAATAATATACAGAAGGATTATAAGAAACAAGGATTTAGTAAACAAACACAAAAAAAAACTGAACTGGAAAAATGGGGAGAAATCAACAGCATCCAAGTGAGTTCAAAGGTCAACTAAAAAGATATGGTGGAACAACACTGAGAGAATACAGACAGATGGGGAAGAAGCCATTCAAAGCAGGCAGGTTATATACATATATATATACTGTCATGCTTTCAAATATCTCAGTAGAAATTATATAAAGCAAAAAGTCATATTCCACGAAACATCCCTGTAATATGGAGTTTCCTTTTTGTTTTATTTGTCCTTTTTTAAGGAACTCTTTTGAATCCTATACAGATTTATCTGAGGACGTTACCACGAAGTTCCACCTAAGGAGTGTTGGATCAATCTTTATTAATTGAGAAGAAATTTAAATAAACATAAAATTAATAACCTTATTAAAATCAAATATTCTCAAAATATATGGTTCAGTTTCTGAAGTTTGACCCTCCTGTACAGCCCCTGTCCTTAGCATCACTTCTGTCACTGTTTTAAGATTTAGAAATTCACTATATAGTTATACAGGCAATTTTCAAAGACTTAGACCGACTCCTGTTAAGCCCATATTCTAAATAGATATATATAATTTCAGCAATTAAAACCAATCATCAGCTCATCTACAAGCCCAGAAAACAGAGAAGTTTACTTACACGTTTCTGTGATAAAAATCAAATTCAAATTAATTTCTCCAATGAATATTCAAGATTTTTCAAAGCATAAAAAATGTCATAAACTGGTCAAAAAATAAAATATTTGAACATGAATGTTGTGTTTCAAATCAGTAAGACTTCAAGATAGATTGTGTATAAAAGTCCTACTTCACAGTGTTAATTTTTCACCCTTGTCCCAGGTAGCTTGGTAATTTGCAGTGATAGGTCACTATGATTTTTTAATTGTCCAGTTGGCATATATTTGAGAGAACTATACTGTCCCGACAATATTGCGGTACCTTCGCAGCACTTGTAGAACTGTTATTTATCAGATTTTGTGTTGTTCTCAATAACAATAATTAAAATGAAATCATATTTGCCTAGAATATCACTAATTATTCAGTCTATAGAGTGACATATACCACAAAAACAAGGAGACCTGAAACTCCCTGTCAGAATCTGGACTCTGCTAAAACACATTAGCCAGTAACTACAAATGACTCATTTATTTTATAACAAGAGGCCTATGGGCCTTAACGGTCATCTGACATAAAATACAATATTTCAAATTTTGAACTTGAGAAAAAGTCGAAAATGTATTTTCAAGATGGCGGCCATGTTGGATTTCGGACCAACCTGAAATTTACAAACTTTGGTCAGGATCATATCACGATCATTTCAGGTAAGTTTCAGCTCAATGAGACATGTAGAACTTGAGAAGTTGAAAATGTTTACGACGGACGACGGACGCAATAGGTCATCAGACCCTTTGGTCAGATGACCTAAAAAATAAAACTATATATAGCTCTGTTTTCAAAAAGACTACATCCTCAAATAATATTATACTGTTATACTGAATAAAAATATTCATATTTCCAGTTTTTCAAAGCATTCAATTCGAAGATTTGTTTCATATTGAACGGTCAATGCTTGATACAACTTAAGAATAAAGTATGATTGCCACAAAAACAGTCTTTTATATTCATTCTTTCAATGGATATTTTATAAAATCTATTAACAAACATTTTAAGAATCTGATTTCAATATGATTTGCATTAAAGAAAGTCCAGCTAGAATTCTGATTTAAGAAATACATTACTGACTTTAAGCATTTGACAGTACGACATAACAATCAAATTGTCTACCGAAGTAAAAATTCCACAACATAAATTGAACTTGTACTAAAACATGCTTAAAACTCCATTAACAAAGTAACATTTTACATCCAGTCCAAGATCAAACATACAAATGCAGAACTTTCCACGACAAAATATCAACATCTCAGACGGGTTACTTACAAAACCATGGGGTACACAACCTGCCTGTGTGTACTGTATAAGATACAACATCACAGTAATGTCATGGCTGCTATTTTTTGTCATTTAAAATATAATCCCTCCCACCATGAGTCAACCAGAATTAAAGATATTGAATTGTGAAGTAAATTAGGCAGCGTAATGGATTACTATGACTGATTTCAGTTTTGGACGATAAATATTTCAACTCGCCTAAAACTTATCTATAACAACCTATTAGTCTAATGGTTAAAATCCCTTAGACTGAAACCGCATAATACTAGCAGTAATTTCTGTTTTACGTACAGGAATAGTATAGAAATACAAAATATTTACTAAGATAATACATATATGTATAATATATGTAAAATGAAACAAAGAAATTGGCATCGCCAGGGATAATTTACATATAGTGGACAGCTGGATATATGCTACAGTTAAATATGGATATGTTTGAATTAAGTATTAAAATATGCTGCATTTCCATTTGTTTTTAAATTCCATTTAAAATACAAATTCTTTTCCACATAAATTTCTGAATTTGTCACTGAAGACAACTGACTTCAAATTGTAATCTTTTAAATCCCCTACTCCCCTCCCTCCTCAAGAAAAAAAAATTACAAAACAGATGTCAATTCAGCTGATAACACTATAGATGACTCTTTAGTTGATATACTAGTATCATGTTTATAGGTATTAATATACTTCATAGTTACACATCAGACTGGATACAATTTTTGTATGTATACTGTATATAGAAAGTATTTTTACTTATGATACATATACTTCGAATAAGACAAAGACCTGGTCTTACCGATGAATTTGTATCAGTAATATACAATGGTGTGGTGTCAACCTTTTTATTTTTATTCTCACGATCCTGAAACACAAATGTAAGTTGATGGTATGTATAACAGTGCCTACTGATATATTATTATGTCCCAGGATTTGTGATAATGGACAAACTGGGATGTTAAGGGAAAAGTAATTAAGAAATTCTATAAGTTAATTAGATAAAGTAAGGACTTCAGGAGTGTTACAGGGTTTATATATTAGGGGTGGGGATGAGATGGGTGGGGCTGGCATAGGGGTGGGGCTGGCATAGGGGTGGGGGGAGGGGGCAACCATGATGTTTTATGGGAGCAAAACTAGCAAGACTTAAATTTCTAAAGTTCTTTCAGGACGAGATGACATATATTTTTATCTTCAACAAAATTGTTCAATTATCTGGAAGATTCAATATATCAGTCTATGATATGGTCACATCATATATCAATAATTTAGAGTTTATTTTGGGCACATGGAAGAAATTTGACATATAAACACTCACCAGTCGCACTTTCTTTGCCAAGTTCTGGAAACTTCCCTTCTGTAAAATTAAATCAATTATCACAGTGAAAAAAAACGGTCAGGCAGGAGTATTGTATTTTTTATTTTCTTCCGTTATTGAAACAAAATTCAGACTAAAACATAAACAAAATAAGAAATATATGTCATGTATTCTGATATATCTCAAAGAACTATTTCTAACTGACATCATTGTTACAACATTACAACTCTAGTATACTAGGACTTACATTGATTACAAAAGGCATGTCCTCCACAATGCTGTCCTTTCTTTGGTTCCGGAACTGTTCATAGTAAGCATTTATAGAGGCTGAAACAATAAAAACAAAGTAAGCAGGGGCTCACATAGATATAGCCCTATCTTTTTTGTCTGATTTAAATCTACTGAGAGGTTTTATCTAATGAGGAGTTCATCAGACATATTGTACATAAGCTTTTTCATTTCAAAAGTGGTCAACAGTGACCTTTTGACTTGACCAATGGCCGTCAACATCTGATCAGGTGTAGATCTTAGTAGGTTGATGTTATGGTGTAAATATCAACTAAATCTTTTCAAGGGTTTATCATATACCTTGACACAATCTTTTGTTTCAAAAGTGGTCAACAGTGACCTTTTGACTTGACCAATGGCCGTCAACATCTGATCAGGTGTAGATCTTAGTAGGTTGATGCCATGGTGTAAATATTAACTAAATCTTTTCAAAGGTTTATCAGATACCTTGACACAATCTGTTGTTTCAAAAGTGGTCAACAGTGACCTTTGACCTTTAACTTTGACAAATCAAATTCAGATCAGGTGTAGAATTTGGTTTGTAGATGCTATGGTGTAAAAATAAAGTAAATATTTTCATGGGTTCGTGAGATATCTTGTGCACAAAATTATCGCACAATGATGCAGATAAAGGATTTATTAACACAATCAAATTTTAGCGCAACATCATGTTTTGGTGAATTAGCACAAGGATGAATGAGTGCCTACATAATTATTGCTGCTTTGACAATATTTGGCCATTTTGTGCAATAATATCCATAGTTTCCATGGAAACAACATGAGACAAAGCAGTAAACAATTCTCCATAAGTAAACAAAATTTCATTAAAAAATTGGTCCTTGAACAAAATCAGAAATTAATTGAAACAGAGATTCAGAAATGATACTTAAGCACATTATTGTCAGTGTGAAATGGGCTAAAATATGATTATCACTAAAATATATATCTTACATTAGTTTAAAAAATAATTTTATTCCATATTCAACAATTTAATACATACATATAGTAGGTATGAGATGGAAAAACAAACTTAGAATTTATGTTTGAATACAAAAGTAAGGGGCCTTACTTTTGAGGTCACTGGTGCTGCTAGCTTTGCCCATACTGGACGTGGAGCTGGAGTTTTTCAGGATGGAGCGGAGAGGAAGTTGAAGAGTATGATATGTCTGTTCCTCCTTAGCTTCCTCGGATAATTCTGTCAGACTGTTGGACTACAACAAAATAGAGATGTTATCAAAGTCACACATCACAATGGTGGATTACATTATTTTATACAAAATGGTGAGGCAATTAAAGTCACACATTGCTAAAATGAATTTCCTTACCAGTAATTCTTTTAAACAAGCAATTTTTTTCCAATGGATTCCCAATATACCATGTATTTTTCAAAGTGATTCAACAAAATCCTTGTTTTTATCTTTACTTTAAAAATTGTCCATCAATTAGTAAAATTCTACTTTGTTTTCAGATCTATTGGTTTATTGTAGCTTTAGGTCCTATAAACAGCCAGGGCCATTTAAGGATGTGCCAGGGTCATTTAAGGATGTGCCTGGTTTAGGTTCTAAAGAAAAGCCGAAGTTCCCAGAGAAAAACTTGTGGCAAGTAACCGGTGACTACCCCAATTAGGCTCTGAACCAACGACCCAGAGGTGGAAGGCTAATGATAAAGATGGTCACACACCTTTACCACTACTCCAACACAGTCCCATTTAAAGAAAAATTTTTAATGATAAAAAATCCTGCACACAATCATGTTTTTGATAAAAAAAAAAACCACTTACAGATTTTGAAAATCTCATTCTAAATGGGTTTGGGAGTCTGTTTGCTCCTCCACCGCCTTGTACTTCATCCACCTTAAGAACTTGGAACCTCGATGATCGCGCTGGGGAGGACTCAGTGACCGTGAGAGCTGGAATAGTTGTGGGTGAAGGGGCTCTAGAGTTTTGGGCCGTTGATAATTCTGAGTTTGGGGTTCGTGTTCCTGGCGTGTCCTCATCCGAGTTGCTCATTAGGATTTTCTGGTCGTAACTTAAGTGTAACAAAAGGATCCGCTCTAGCTCAAAACGTTGTATAGACCCCAGTAGTATCATTGAATCTGAAAAAAACCAAAACAACAGCACTTTTAAAGGATTAAACTTATAATATCAGGATACCCTACGATTCAAAATATTGTATTGAAATTTTACAGAAATCTAAATACAAACCAGTAACACTTATAACAGCTAAAAATAGCAGAATACCATTAGGATATTCTCTATCTCAGATCTAAATGAGTGTCTATGTCCATTTACATAACTTAGATACCTAAACATATATGTTAGATAGATATCAAAACAAAATTTCAACCAAATCTAAATTCAAACTACAATTTGATGAAACTGGGGTAAAATGTGCATCAATGAAATATTTCCACAGAGACTCCTAAAAAATAACAATAAGACCAGGTGTTCCAGAAGGATAAATATTTCCTGCTTCATTGATACCATGTCAATCTTGGTTAATCTAAGTGAGTTATGTCACATTCCTAAATAAGTAAAAGGTGAACAACAATGGAACCACCAGGTATACTTACATCCTCACCTTGACGTCTTACTCCACCTTAATTTCTGATAAGTAATTACAATACATTCCTGCATGGGTCACCACTATACAGTAGTGATATTATCTATAATCTTACCACTGCTTCATTTTGAGGTCCAGTAATGTCCCAATGACCTATCAATGTTTTCTTTAGCACACTTAATCCAGTATCTTCTTCCTCCTTTATTTTTGATTTGCATAATCAATTTTAATAAATATGTACTTTAAGCCATTTTTTGTGGAGAAAACAATAAACAGCAAATGTAAACTGAACATTTTTGACTTATTTTGTCAAAAAGCTAAAAGAAATAAAATCCTATTCCTGTTAACAAATGTTTGTTTACAGAAATTTTATATTCCCAAACCTTGTTACAATGAAATCAAAGTGACCATCAAGATTGTTTACCTGGAGAGTCCACTAGTGGGTAACTTTTGTGAATGGACTTGGTGATAAGGTCTTTCAGATGACCGTAACTGGACACAAAGGACACATACTGGACATCAGTGACCATTATGTCTTCTACATACACATTCCAAGTGCTGAAAAGACACGATAAAATAAAAATATTATTACAACATGTACTTATATGTAGAGGGGCCGTTCAGATCCACTTAATTACACATTTCATTCACACAGACACAAATGATTTCATTTGTATTGTTATAAGTGTGTGGTCTGGCCAACACTGGGTTACATCCTATTAAGAGTCAGGGTCATATATAGACGTGCCAGGTTAAGTTGGTGGAGGAAAGCCACAGTTATTGGAGAAAAGCCACCAATCTGCCACCAGTACCCAATTACAGCCATTTGTAGGCCTCGAACCAGCCACCCAGAGTGGAAGGCTCATAAACACTAGATAATGTCTGAGAGACCTGATATACCTAACATACATACTTGAAGTATCAACAAATATATATTTATAGTTACTGTGACCTTGACCTTTCATTTAAGACCAATGAACAGTGATTTGTTTGTCATGCCATAATTATTTAACACTTCAACAAAATTAAATGTGGAAGAAATATATTATTTTTGAGCTCTTGAATACTGTCTAGACTTGATAATAAGCTGAATAGATTTATAAATACTTTTAATTCAGATTTTCATTTACTGTAAAATGTGCTGGGCATTTGATTTTGCACTATCTTTAATGACTGTAAATACAGCATAGATAAATCCCTTGCAAATAATACCAACTGTACAGTACTGCCGAGACAGATAAATTATGTACAGTACTGCAGAGACAGATAAACTATGTACAGTACTGCAGAGACAGATAAACTAAGTACAGTACTGCAGAGACAGATAAACTATGTACAGTGCTGCTGAGACAGATAAACTATGTACAGTACTGCCGAGACAGATAAACTTTGTACAGTACTGCCGAGACAGATAAACTCTGTACAGTACTGCTGAGACAGATAAACTATGGGCAGTGCTGCCGAGACAGATAAACTAAGTACAGTACTACCGAGACAGATAAATTATCAGTACTGCCAAGACAGATAAACTATGTACAGTACTGCTGAGACAGATAAACTATGTACAGTACTGCCGAGACAGATAAACTCTGTACAGTACTGCCGAGACAGATAAATTATGTACAATACTGCTGAGACAGATAAACTATGTACAGTACTGATGAGACAGATAGACTATGTACAGTACTGCCGAGACAGATAAATTATGTACAGTACTGCCAAGACAGATAAATTATGTACAATACTGCTGAGGCAGATAAACTATGTACAGTACTGCCGAGACAGATAAACTCTGTACAGTTCTGCTGAAACAGATAAACAATGTACAGTGCTGCCGAGACAGATAAACTACGTACAGAACTGTCGAGACAGATAAACTATGTGCGGTACTGTCCAGACAGATAAACTATGTACAGTACTGCTGAGACAGATAAACTAAGTACAGTACTGCTGAGACAGATAAACTATGTACAGTACTGATGAGACAGATAAACTATAACAGTGCTGCCAAGACAGATAAACTATGTACAGTGCTGCCGAGACAGATAAACTATGTACAGTGCTGCCGAGACAGATAAACCAACACTTCACTATTTATATACCTTGATTTGGAAGACACTATGTCAGGTAAGTATGGCAGACGCTTCAGTTTGATGATACTGTCATAAAATGAAGGCTGCAGCTGATTGGCTATGGCATTAGCAATAAGTACAGCTACCTGTAAAAAAAAGTGTTCAGATGAAAAACTTTACCATGTTAAAAACTGTTTCAATGACAAGAAAAAAGTTCTCATACTAATTAAAAGTGTAAAAGTGTGGGGGGGTGGGGGGTGATTATTTAAGCTAAAACTATAAAAAAAAAAGTGTAATCGAATTTGTGAACGATTGAGTGTGATAAATACTTACTACTGCAGGTAGTACGTGACTGATCTGACCTGTCAGCTCAAACACAATTACAGATGTTGATATTGTCCTGGTAACACTTCCCGATAAAGAGGCTGCACCTGTATCATCACAGAAGAGTATATCAAAAGGTTACACTTCATAATACAATTTAAAACAATGAAAAGTATAGATTCTCAGGAGATGTCTTCACGTGTAAATATTGTCACACAAACAATAAGCATTATAGACATAAATATGAATTATCATTTATACAAGATAGGTATTTGTAAATAATCTAAAAAAAAGTCCATATTACATTTGAAAGGGGCATCCCCTCATTATACCTATAGAAATATGTTGCACTGTTATTTTCAAATTGATACTTAAAAGATCATCACACTGTCTATCGGGCCAAAGTAAGATTTCAAATATTTTGTAATTTATTGACTTATCTGAAGACTTTGACTGGTGTATTAATTTATAAACCTTTACTTCTCCAGAAAAATCACTTTTTCCCTCAGTTTTATTTTCATAAACTTACATATTTTCAACGATAGAAGTACAATCACTTTTGGGATGTTTATGTAAATCTTTCTTTTGTTCATAATTTGCCATGGTTTCATCGAATTCAACTTTGAATTATGATTCTGTTGACAAGTCAGTATTTACTGTTTTGGGTTTGTTTTTTTTATTTTATTTATTTTTTTTTTTTTTTTTGCTTTTATTTTTTTTCAAAAGTTGTAGGAAGAGAATAATATCAGGGACCATAACTCTTTAAAATGGTACTGAACAAAATTAGAATTTTACATTCAATTTGGTGGGTAAGATGTCAATTTATTTTGAAATTACATGTAAGAATGAATGTATATTTCAATTGAGACATCACAATGGTAACAACAAAGTCTTGTTTCCTTGTATCTGAATGGACAATGGCAGTTACCTTACAGAGTCATTCAAATTTTTTTTCCCATATATTTGCATATTTACATGAGACCATATTTGAAATGTGACGATACAGGAAACGATATACACTAAGACTATTATACAAAAGTTCACCTGAATATAATGAAAATTTAGGACTAACAAGATTGTTTTTGTAACATACCAACGATGGCGTATCCACCTGGAACAATTCTATGCTTGACTGTTTTGTGTATAATTTTAGCAGGTAACCATTCCACTAAGCCTCTCCCTATTTGTGTGTCCAACAGGTGTTCAAGTGTGTGTAAAACAGGTGTGTCCACCAGGTGTACAAGTGTGTGTAAAATAGGTGTGTCCAACAGGTGTACAAGTGTGTGTAAAACAGGTGTACAAGTGTGTGTAAAACAGGTGTGTCCAACAGGTGTACAAGTGTGTGTAAAACAGGTGTGTCCAACAGGTGTACGAGTGTGTGTAAAACAGGTGTGTCCAACAGGTGTACAAGTGTGTGTAAAACAGGTGTGTCCAACAGGTGTACAAGTGTGTGTAAAACAGGTATGTCCAACAGATGAGCAAATATGTCCATCAGGGGTCAAGTACATAACCAGCAGAATGTAAGTGTACGCCCATCAGATTTGCATGTGTATTTATATAACAGGCATACAAGTGTCCATTATATGTTTAAATATTTGTGTCCATAAGGTATGCATGTGTATTAGTCCAACAGGTGTTAGAGTGTGACCAACAGATGGGTATGTGTGACGATGTGTCCAACAGATCAGCGTGTCAGTGAGTGGGTGCCCAATAGGAAAAATTTAGTAAATTATATTTAGCACTTGAGTATACTATATACTTTAACATACACCTCATTCTAACACACACTAAACTACTATTTTGGGAGAGGGTACTATACCAATGAATATAGACAAGAATTTTTATCAATGTGAATTAAATGCAAAATTGCTGTGTCTTTGTATTTTATACTGGTCAGTAATGTAAAACAAAGAAGATTTATTTTACAGACAACATGTCTGTGAACCTAAAGTTCACTGTGTAATTTCAAACGATGTAGATTCGATAAATATTTTCTAGACTCAGTAAACAAGGGAGCATAACTCTTATAACAATCAAACCCAAACCCTAGAACACTCTTACGTAAGCCCATCAGACAAATCAGATTTGTGTAAAGTTTGATAAACCCCAGAACACACTTATGTAAGTCCATCAGACAAATCAGATTTGTGTAAAGTTATACCGATTGATCATATATAAGTGAATGATCTGTTTATTTCTTCGATAGGTTTATCTCCTCTGTGAACAGCAAAGGTCATTTAGAGGCAAATTTTCCTTTCAGTAGCTGGTGGCTACCTCAGTGAACAACATATGGGAGGTCTCTTGCATGCCACTCAGACCAATGAGGGTAAAGTATGCAACAAACCTATGAGCACTGACCAGTCCGCTTTTCAGCTTCCTGAGAAACACAAACTGTCACGAGTAGAAAGTGTTGAACTATGCACCTCAGTTCTTATCCGAGGTTTCATAGGCCAACACTTAATCAAGCTGCCAATGAGAATGATATCAAGGGCATTAACTCTTAAAATGGGACCAGAGCATGACACGAATTAAGCATGCATAGGTTCATATAACAAGCAAGCCCTCTGTAAACTCTTTATTGAGGTTTTATCTGAAGCTTAAAGTAGAAGTTGGGAAAATGTGAAGCATCTTCATCAGGTTGGTAAGTAGTATATAAGATTCTTCTATCAGAATCTTATACCGGGAAGAAGCTATGTGTGATATTTCCAAGACTACATTGTCACCTTCATCGAACAAATGGCCAGCTCCATATGAATAATTCATAAGATGGAGGTGGTAGTGTTGTCATGGTTTTATCATACATAATGTTCTTGTTGTGATAAGAACTGGTTGGGAGGAACTCTGGTTTTTTCAGGCTAAAACAATCAAGGGCAATAACTCCCTAAACAACAATGTGGGATAACTGATTCACTGTTTGGAGGTTAATATTTTTTATTGGAAGAAACACATGGCAATCTGTAACACTCACATGAGTATATAATTATTGAAGAGCAACACCTGTACAAAATATCAGCACAATTTTATCTAAAGAATTTCTAAAGAGATAAGTTTTCAGTAGTTTCTGGTCAAAGACAACAAAACCTATATACAAGAGTATACTTGTATAAACTAATACGTCCCAGTTTTGATTTTCTGAGTCAATATAAATTATAGTTCAATTTTAAAAATGTTTTTCATACTACTACCTTCACAAAAGAATATATAACTCTTAACTCTCACACTTCTGAATAAAGATCACCCTGATTACAGCTCAATAAATGATCAAAATAGCAAACTTGCTATAGAAATTCTCACAATTAGCATCCTCCCAAGAAACTTGTGCATAACCTGTAAATGACAACATCACACTTACCCACGACAGAATACCCTCCAGGAACAATTTTACGGATCACATTTCCTGACGGAATACCATCTGGAAACCACGCTGCCATGCCTTCTCCGACAAGACGTCCGAAGGCAGCTCCCACCGTGAAGACAGGAACAAACACCCCCGCAGGGATAGGTAGCGTGTTACAAATGGCCCCAAACCAAAACTACAAACGAAAGAAAAAAGTTTTTTTAATTTTTTTTGATCCGATTCTACATGTAAAAAGTAGTAGAAAATTTTTGAGTGGAAAATATTATAAAAACCTGCATACTGCAGTTAATTTGTAAATACATGTAAATCATATTCAAAATTTACGATGAAACTGGGAGTTTTTTCATGATTATGTTTGCCATAAGGTCATAGAAAAATTTCTGAAATAACATCTTTAGCCACAAAATTCTAGATTGAAGTTTAAGTAAGAGAGCTCTGTGCATTCATAACATAAGACACATGCCGTTTCTAACAACTCACATTCATAATAATGAAGATAACAAGGTTAACATATATGTTTGTGTCAGGATGCTTCCAATGGCTGATAATCTCCTCCTCTGCTAGGTTGTCTGCCTGACCCGACGTCCATGTTATGTTACTAAATAACTCATTGATGGCTTGTCGACTTGTCAACTACAAAATATCACCCAGATATAATTCAGTACAATACTTTGAAAGAAAGTGTACATGATCTTCAGGCAATTACTCTTTTAACAGTGCTTAACTGTATGATGAAAAAATACAATTATAGCATAATAAAATAAGGGGAGATAACATTGTTATGTTCATTTAAGGTATGGCTAATGAGAACGAATTTACATTGCTAATGACAACAAATTTACACAAAGTCCTTCACTTGTAATATATTACTACACACACAAGAGAAGCTATCTTTATCTGTGTTTAGTGAGAAAAAATAAACTTATAAAGTCGATTACAACAGTAACAGTAAATATTAAATTTCATTTGCACCAGAGGTGGTAACCAGTAAAACATGAACAGGAATTTTTTGTTAAACAATGTCAAATACTTAATCCAAGTTTACTTACACTTCCTGCAAAAAACTGGCCAAGGCCTGGAGGGAATGTGAGGGAGGAAATCACCAGGGCGACAAGTCCCGGGTATATAAAACGACTGTAAACAAACCAGATCCAAAACATCAGTGACGACAGTCGCGAGTCACCCGTCATCAAATATACATTAGTTTTTAATTTACTAACATCTCTGATGTCTCTTGCTTGCTTTGAATAGATTTTTTTCTAAAAATATGGTACAAAAAAAAAAAAATACCTCATACACATAAATACTGAAATTAATTTCTTTCAGCTTTTTTTTAACTTTTTAAAAGGACGATTCCCTTATGATAGAACCAGTTATACTACCTGAATTAGTGTTTCTCGTTTGAAGTTTTATGACTACCAAGTAACTTATGTTATTATATTACTTCTATTACATTGATTTCATTTTTTGTTTAAGGAATTTCGGGTAAATCTGTTTCATCCTCAATCATAAATGATCAGATTTATTGAAAACATGAAATTTTATAAAGCATGACATAGTAATACCACCGAAGGAAAAATACTTACTTTTTCTGTAAAAACATTGTCATTCTTTTCTGTTTTCTTGTAAATAAAATTATTTTTCTATGAAGTAATATAAACAAGGCCCCACCGAAGCCACACACGACTCTGAAACAAATGGACAATAATCTTTATATTACAATACGATTAAACAACTTTTCCTAATTTCCACACACGACTCTGAAACAAATGAACAAATCATTTCATATTAAAATACAATAAAACAACTTTGTGCAATTTCCTTTCACTAGTATGGAGCAATTTCTTCTTAGGGTAACAGAAATTTTTGTTACAGAACTTCAATAATAGTAATTATTCTTCTATATACTAAGTGTATGGACTATAAATTAACTATGATTCTGTTAAGAAAATAATATTAAAATGAAAACATTTTTTATGAAGCTGCAGTTATCATAATGTAACATTATTTTTAAAGTTAAGGTCATCAAATACTGAAGATGATATTTTAATTGTTAAGAATTTTTCAGATTTTATCAAAGATTCAAGCAAAAATGAAGTAATTCTCATGGAAGATGTAAGACTATGCATGGTTTTCCTTAACAAATTTCTTTCTTTCTGTAGCAGGTGTAGCTACCTCACTTAACAACATACAGACCATCCATCACGTACCATTGTCAGCACTTGAAAGACATAAAACTGAACACAATTTTCTTTATAAAATTTTATCTTTCTCTAGTAACTGCCAGCTACCTCATCGAACACCATACAAAAGGCTCATCACATGCCTTGAGTGCTACTAGGGTAAAGTGACTTGCCCAAGGACACAAATACATCAGCACAGACAGGTCGCTTTCTCAGCTTCCTGAGAGATAACATCAATCATGGGTAGGGAGTGTTTAACCATCCACCTCAAATCTTCACCTAAGGTGATATAGGCCAAAGCTATATACCTGATAGAGCTATCCCAACCCCTTGCATTACAGTAAGGACTGGATGTACATAAATGTAAGTATATAGTAAATACTTACCCAATAAATGAATATGCTAATAATTCTAAGGCATCAAACGGGAAATCTGTCCTTAAAGACGTCCTGAATAATGCTGTTATGGTTTCTGTAACACAATATAGTCAGGAAATCGGTATTAAAGAATATATCATTTTCATTTACCACGTGGAGTATAAACACAACTTAATGCAATTTTATATTTCTATAATCATAAACATTGTATTTTGATATGGTTTTACGTAAATATCCATAAATACAGTCGAACCTGCCTTAAAGGCCACTTTTATACAAAGGTTACCTGTCTACAAAGGCCTTTTTTTTTAATTCTTTGTGGTATGCAATTATAAAAAAAAACTCTATATAAAGGCCACCTGTGTATATAGGCCACTTTTCTCTGGTACTCTTTAAACAGGTTTGACTGATTATTTCACTTTATCCTAATTTGATACTAAAAATACAAAACTCTCATTTAATGAATATTTCAGCCTATTACTAGTATATATGGGTAGTTGTTTCCATCACTTTGATTTATAAGCAGAAAGATACAATATGTAAGTAATATGTAGGATTTACTTTATCTTGTGTCTCAGAACACACATAATATCCTACCTTCATTTTTGAACCATAATGCTAACAGTCTAAATACTAAGGCCCCACATACAGCAGCGAAGAAGCCTCGCCAGTAGTTTCTCACTGCAAAGTAGGTCGCTGTTACTTCTATACTGAACAGAACACCTGAAAGGAAATTGAATTGAAAAATTAAACCTTCTATTACCTGGAGCAAACAGAAGTAAAATAAAACTGATACAATGTATCATCAACACTCATCCTTCCCAAAACAAGTTTACATATAAATATTGGCAGCTGACAGTGTGATACATGACTAATTGATTGAGTTAGTGTAGTCAACTGTGGTTGTACTGGTATGGGTCAGACAGATCAGAGCAAACATGTAGGCCTATCTTGCAATACCAGTGGTTGACTAACAGAGGAGGACAAACTTGCAGTCCCTCTGACTGGCTGGGGATTGACAGACAAGAACGCACCTGTAGCCCCATTTGGTAGTGCTGGTGGGGTGGGGGACTGATAGACCAGGACAAACCTGTAGCCCCCTTTGGTAGTGCTGGTCTGACAGACCAGGACAAACCTGTAGCCCCCATTTGGTGGAGAAGGACTGAAAGAAGTGAGCAACTTGTTATCCTATTTGTAAGTGCTAGTGGAACATGGATGAAATTTTTCCATCTGGTGATGCAAATATGAATGTAAGTGACAGGTTATTTGTCCCTAGATATGAACAAATGAAGTAAAATTGCATGTAAGGTCTTTACAGTGTTCCTCGTTATATTTTGACACCGGGCACATGGCGTACTCCTTATAGTGTATTAATGCTTGAAAGCCAGTCTAGAGTCAGGAAACTTTATTCAATGTAGCATATGGTAAACAGTAAAACATTAGCACTGTAGTGCTATTATTGTGACAAACAAAAGTATAAAACATTGTTTTATATACATAACAATAATGTCCACTACTTATGTAATGAACAAATATCACAGACACAAAGAGTCTTAAATTTTATCAATTTAGGGGTTTTGTACTCCCATTCACAGGTAACGGAGAAAATACTTTGAAGTATGAAAGTGGTTTGAATAGATCAGACAACCATGAACACAACCTCACTTGTTACATCATACTAAATAGCTACTGAAAGTTTCCTAGGATTTCTAAAACCCCAATGGTACAATATTTACAAACAGATTGAGTTCTTACCACCAATAGGTGCAGCAAATGTCCCAGCCACTCCAACTGCACAAGCTGCAGCCAGCATTTCTGAGCGCCGAGACTCATTCTGAAATTAATGAACAAACTGATATGAATCCAAAATACTCCACACACTTATTATCTTGGTTAAACCCACATAACCGTTTGACACCAGTGGGAGCGTCATTTTGATTAATCATTTGTATTGTCAGATTTTCATGTAAAAGATTCAGTCCATGTAGAACAAATTATTTCTCTATAACAAAATGTTATATATTTCTGAATAATAAATTTCGGAAATAAATTTAACAACCTTATAAATTTTCTATTTCAAAATTCAGTTCATATCATTGGAAAAGCTGGAAATAATTTTGTACGTAAAGACCAACATAAAATGCTTCCGAATTCAATCAAATTAAACAAAGTAATGATGAAGAGTTTGTTATACATACCTCGTATATTCCTCGGAACGATGTGAGCTTCCCTAATAATGTGGCTACAATACTAGCTATATGTACAAAGGGTCCCTGTAATAAACAGAATAGAATACATATGTACCAAGTATTTAGCCTTTAGGACATCCACGATACTCCACTTTCAATTTCTGCACCCCTGGAACATTTCATGGCAAAATTGAAAGTTCCATGTGTGACAACTTGTGGATTAAACTAGACTAGTTTGATCATCAAAGGAATCTCAAGGTCATGTAATGATATGGTGTATTGGTCAACAAGTGTGATTAATATAAGTTGACATAACTTGTTTCACAATTGTTGTAAAAAAATAAAGTTTATTATTATTGACGACTAAAATAGTAAAAGTACCTGAAAATACAAACACCTTGTGAGCTTTAATCACTATGTCAGAAGAGATCGAACAATAAACCAGATTTTCTATCCTGTTACCTCTTTCCCTATTGGAAGCGTGCTGCCTAGGGATGAACAGAGGCCAACCACTTTGGACATCAATGTTTTAAATGTTAAGAATTCCTTCAATACCACACCTCTAAGTATTGTTTTCATCTCTGGAATACCAGAACCTATAAAAGAAATGATTGTTAGTTTTGCTATAAGCTGAATGGTTCTTAAACAGTAAATATAAACTAAATTTAAACAACCTTTTTTACAAACTTGCAAGTTCCAATTAAATAAAAGTATAGAATTTTATCTGTAATTCTAAGTTAAACTCAATCATTAGAGAGTTTGAGTACATAAACATAAATAGGTTGTACAATGTTATAGCAAATATATCAAATTTGACTTTTGATAATGCCATCTGGATAACTTACTAAAAATCTATTTTGCAACAATCAAAGATTATCACAAATGATAATACTGACGTACTTACCTACAGCCTGTGGCGCCACGAGATGTGTGAAGCCTGTCGCAAATAGGATAAATATTATGGAATAAAAGGTCCAGGCTAGGTATTGTAGACCCACTGAAAAGGCTACCTCCTCGTACAACCACAATTTGGCTGGAAAAATAAACAGTTCATATGTTTATAATCAGGCTGGAAGTTAGGGATATAGGTCCTGATAAAATTATCTTAAGTAAAAAAACTGTCTTTAAATTTTTACTTAGTCAATCATTGACAATGAATATAGAGGTCATATGTGACAGTTTAAGCAAAAAAAAAAAAAAAAAAAAAACAACTTTAAGATTGTTTCATGATCCTCAGAGCTGGTTGTTGAGAAAAATAAATCAAATCTATGCTATGGTTTTATATCTAAATACTGTTACAAAGGGCACAATCATTTTGGAAAAAGATTCCAACTTCAATGACAGTGAATACACAAAATTAAATCCCTCACAAATATTATCAATGACACAGTATGTTTTGTTGTAGTAAAATTAAATTTCATATCTTACAAATAAATGTATTTTATAAACCAAACTAAAGCAGTTATTCTGGCCTTCATCTTGTTAAGCTGACAATAAATTGTAACATTCCTAAAATTTCTCATTCCTTAAGACTGCTAGTGACCACTTGACCAGTACCTTCCTGGCATTTTTCGATTATGTAATCCATGGTGAAGCTGAGCAAGGCCATAAGGACCCCCAGCAGGGCCAGGAATATCCAGTCTTCGCCGACTGCCCTGAATATAAGATCCCGTATGTTTGTACATCTTTCTGAAATACAAATAGCAAAATTGATATTATAACAAAAATCCAGTGCACTTTTAATTAAAAAGGTAAGTAGATGAGTTATGTTAACATCTACAACACATTAATACATTTTTATTTCCAGTTTACTCCTGAAAGAGAGATAATTCCATTTTGACAACAATCCAAACTTCACCCATTTTCTTTTTTTTTTCTCTATTATAACAATTTCAATATTTATTTAAATGATACATTCAAATACAGATCTCATTGTTTCAAGGCTGTTTCAGCTAGCCCATATTCTTCAAGAGACATATTACAGCACAACAATCAATTTCAAACAAATCAATTTTAAATTCTTAATTCCCTTTTTCCAGTAGTACCAAACACCAAAAGCACAAATCTGAAAACCAAAACAGCAAAGTTAATTTTAAAAAGAAATTAAATATCTTAATTTTTATTAACTTCCAGCTGAGCTTCTTAAAAAAGAAAAAGAAAACAAAAGCATTAATTTAAGATTTTATATGTCATTATAGATATATTTGTCTGGAGAGAATGGCACCTTGGTATACAAAATGGCAAGCATTAAGCATTTTATCCAATTTGGAAAAAAATGTTACCAGCAATTTTTAAGATGGCTACAAATATGTATATAGTATTTTGGGACACTTGGTTTAGCTGAGGCGCAGATAATCAAAGTCAAAAGCAACTACAGCAGTTGTACACCTGGTTGTCATTAGTAACACAGCCTCCGCCTCAGCAGCAGCAGCAGGTGTTGTTCTAGCCTTGTGTTTATACAATATCTAATCAACCACAAGCAATGAGTTGCTGGCTTGTTTGTAGCAAATATTTAACATACAAACTGTTGGCCAATTGGCTATACTGCTTTATATTTGTAGTGTCTCAGTGTTGGAACATTTTAATTATAAATACCGCATTTATTGGCTGATAAGCCCATGTCTGATGATAATCCCACTCAGTACACTTTCAGTAGAGTGTTAGCAAAATGTTATATCATTATCATCTCTCTACTCTGAGTCAGAGTATTTGTGATACATGTACTTGCTGGGCATATTGCAGGACAAATATATACATGAACCTTTTTTCTGTTTGGTAGTTTTTTTTTCTATCTTCAGAAGACTAAACCTATCTAATATGTGAAAATGCCATGTATGTTTGTCAATTAAGAATTTGCAAATTGCTTCTATTTTAAGTATGAACTGTTGACATTTTATTACAATAGATGTTTGGAGACATGGGGGCTGCAGTCGCCGTCTTTAGTCCCCCACCTCTTGGTCACGAATTTGAAGCCTACAAGGGACAGTTGCCAGGTACTGGCAGCAGGCTGGTGGTTTTTCTTTGAGAACTCAGAGTTTTCTCCACCATCCAAAACCTGGCACGTCCTTTGATGACCCTGGCTGTTAATAGGACATAAAGCAATAATGTAAACTTGTATGGAGATGAAAAGGGGAGATAACTCTATTTAAAATGGTTACTGTTTTAACTGTGTGTTGTCTTAAATTTTTACAGAATCAAACATTAAATGTCTCTCAGCTTTAAGTAATTGTCTGTCAATCTTTGATTTTTTCTTTCTATATATATCACATTCTGTAGAATCCTTATATAACAATGTAACTACATGTACTGGAACTTAAAAATCATTACCTAAGCATTTAGTGTCATATTTCAAGATTTCATTTTCATGAATTATAGCCTACAGCTGTATTCTGTGTCATGTTGGAGATTTGTTATAAATGCCAACGTAGACATTTTATACAAACAGCTGCATGTTCACTGACCCAGAACTGCACACTTTTACAGTCCGGGAAAAAACAAGAAACCAACACTGGCAATACAGGATGTATAATAAAACTAAGCCAACTTTTTTTTCATATATGTATGATATGATGACAATGTTGATATCAATGTTGGTCTGTTCTTAAACTACAAACAATTAAAAAAATGGCAAAATAAAAAATCACAATTTTTAATTCATTGAACCATAAAAAAGCAAGTACTGACCTATTTATATATTACATTTTTTTGTTAAATGTATACTGTTATCCTGCAATACACCAAAGGGGGGACAACTCAAAATCAGGGTGTGGGCTTATTACAGGTCAATAAAATCTAATTAGTTTGCAATTTCACTGGACAATAATATATGAGTGGACTTAATGTCAGCCATGGGATTATTGCTGAATAAATACAATAAGTTGTTGAATATGTGTATTGATTATAAACCAGGAATGTTTAGCCCCTACTATTGTGTGTTCTTTTCTAAATTCTTCTTAGGTTTATCACATCAATGTACTGGCAGGTGAAAATCCATCTTTTTGTAAAGCAGATTTATCTGCTCATATAAGTAGGTATTGATTATCATATCATTTGTTTGCCAGAGAATAACATCATAAATTTGTGAGAAAACGACGTAATTTTCTCCTGCAAACTAATAACATAACAATCACTTCCTGCTCACAAGAGCAGATAACTCTGCATTACAACAAGACGGAATAATTTTTGTGACATCAATCAAAGAGGGAAACCTACATATATATATATATATACACACACATATATTTGTTTTGTTAACATCCATCAAGAATATTACTTACAGAACCAATGAGAATTCTATAAATGAATAGTCAAGCACAATCCATCAAATACTTGATGGAAAAATAGTGATTTTAAACTAAGATCTCTAAAATCAAGATGGCTGATTGTCGGCCATTTTGTTTTTGTGACAAGTTTCATAGCTAAAAGGGCACCATTATGGAAGACAAAGAGAAAGCTACTTGATTGTGGACTGTTAAAGTATGACATAGAATCCTCATAATCGTTGATCTCAACTAAAGTTAAGGAAGCTTGGTCAATTAAAATGTACTGAGGGATATCTCACAAGACAAATGATATGTGTATTGCCTGTTTTGGTGGGGGATAGGCACTGGTGGATCCAGAGGCGGGGTGCACCAAGCATGTGCCCTTCCCTTATGGAAGATTTTTCAGTTTTAAGTCTCGGTCTCACCCAAAATCATGTATGCGCTCCTGATAGGGGTGGGTTCAAATTAAGTATTGTTTACACTAATTAACATATACCAGGTAAACCAGACAAATTATTCATCTTCAAACTTACATATTACTTGGAAATCATACACAAATATATATCATAAGTTAAGGGAATGTCATTTGTTGAATGTTCCATGCTAAAACAAACAAAGCTGTGGTGAGCAGCTGTGGGTGAAAATCACTTTAACATCACACGATTCATGTAGTGTTTATTCTAAACCACACTGAACAAAACCTGTCACAGTAATTTTGTAGGATTTTTGACGAGTCCCGATACTAAGAGACATAGAGGGTACTCAAAATATGAGTGAATCCCACAGGAAAAGCCTGAGACAAGGACTCATATATCTGAGTCCCAAAAATCACTGTGTCACACAAGCTAAAGTCAGTGAAAACATACAGTACTTATCTGACAAGTTCCTGTCTGTTAATAAGCCCCCTCCCTGCTTTACAGACAGATGTGATACATTGATCCCTGTAGTTATTGTGGAATAAAAACAGGACAAGTGTACAATTGGGGAAAATACAAAACAGTAATCCCAGGAAGGGCTACACCTTCCATTAGATTTTAACCTTCACTGTTACTCAAGAACCTTGAATAGTTTCGATAATAACACAATATCTTACACTTAATGTCATATTGCTTAATGTCATGTTTTTGTTAATATCATGTTTTTTTACATTAATTACTATAAACAATTTAAAATCATGTATCATTAAATTATTTGATGCTAAAAAATCTGGATGAATTCTCAAATTTATGTCAAATTTTCAGTGATCTTATCATTTTCTCAAAGAAATTAAAGTTAAAAAGAAAAAAAAAATGCTATAATATCTTTGATGCTCAATAATATATCAAAGACTGTAGCAATCACAGACTTCAAAGGTACATAGGAAGGTTTGTACAAAACGAATATCGAAATTTGCACTGAAATGGTACCATCTGATGTAATCATTAGTTTTGCTGACTTAAGAAAGTTCACACATATTTAATAAGTAGGTAATTACGTAAACACATTAAATATTAAATATTAGGCAAATCTTGGGTATGTCCAACCATTAAATGGGAAGAGTTGTGAAAAAATCAATAAAAACAATAAGGAAGAAAAGTGAAACAGTTGAAACTAATTGGTGATGCATGTTTCACAACAATCTCCTTCAGGGTGTCTCAGAGGATTAGCTACCATATCAGTGCTAACATCACAGAAACATATTAATTACACTGAGCTAATTAACTACACTTGTATAACTGAGCTCATTAGTAATCTATCAAATAGATAACATCGGACATTATTACAGAATTACAACAGACAAGAGATATTTCACACTTCCATCAGACAAAACAAAATCATACACTGAAAAATCATTAATTTCTTTTACAGATTTGTTTTCAATGATTTTGTTTGTCCTCTGAATCCTGAAAATTACTGTTAAGAATGAGCAGATTAATAGAGATATATTTAGTCACAAAATCGAGTGTTAAATTATTTTTTTTTATTTCGAAAAACCACAAAAATGAAACTCCATGAAAAGATATGATATTGCAGGATATGGATAATGGAAAATTATATATATTTGTGGGTCTTAAATTTAGTGGTTTTACAAAAATGTTTATTTTCATTGTCAATTGATTTTGTGGATAAATCTTGCTCAAGAAACCCACAAAAACTACAATCCATGTCAAGTTTTATCTGTTAATCATTTTGTGGACAAACAAATTAATTTTGTAGACTAGAAGTACCAATAAGTTCAGATAAAATAGCCGCTTTCCACTTAGAAAAATAATGACTACAATATGTTAGTACTTGGTGTTGTTGTAAATATTGTAACATTGTCAAATTTTAATTGACTGGCATTAGGGTTCCTTTAATTGAACCCATATATTTATATTAATGT